CCCTCCCCGTGGGCTTGCTGGATGACCATGGGCAAATCATGATGAAAAGTAGGCTGCATGGTATGTAGGAAGAACAGAAAGAAGCATGGGAAGGTGAGGTTATGGGGGTTACCGGGAGGAGAAAAATAGTGTGGAGAGGGGGATACAGGGGGAAATGAGTTGCCAGCAGCTAGCACCATGCAATTGGGCTACAGTTTTCCTGGGCAGAGGCTGCCAGGGTGTGGAAAAAAGGGGAATCTGAAGACAGGGGGGAGATAAAGGTAGGTTGGCTGATGGGTGGGTGGGAAGAAAAAGAAGCAGGATGAGGGGAGAGGTTATGGTGGCTTTCAGGGAAGGGTAAGAAGAAATAGTTGGGGATGGGAAAATGAGATGCCCTCTGTAAGTCCTTGCCTGTTCCCCTCTTGCACTTTCTATTAACCACACATGAAATTATCTTACACGGAATCAAAGCACCACTTCTTCTAGTAGCTTCCAGGCAGAGAAGGGACTTTTCCAGCACCTGTTACCTAAGCTTCTTAAACTGGAAACACCAAAGACTGAACCTGGGACATTCTTCATGCGACACTTTGTTCCACTATTGAGTTACAACCCCAACTCTCATCATTTATGAACTGAATGTTTAATGCAACCTCAAACGGTCACCTCTAGACTTGAAAAAACTGTGTACCATTATAAAGGTAAAGGTTTCCCTGCCTCAAAGGCCAGTCAAATCTGGCTCTAGGGGGCGGTGCTCGTCTCCGTTTCCAAGCCAAAGAGCCAGCGCTATCCGAAGACTTTTCCATGGTCATGTGGCCATTAAACTTCTGCACAAATTTTATAATGTTCATGAACACTTCCTGATGTCTCACTATTGAGACCAGTAGGGTTGCCCGCCTCCACATGGGGCCTGGAGATCTCTCACAATTAGAGCAGATCTCCAAACTACAGAGATCAGTTCCTCTGGAGAGAATGGCTGCTTTAGTATGGCATCATACCCCACTGAGGTTCCTTCCCTGCCCCAGACCCTGCCCTCCCCATGCCGCACCCCCTAAATCTACAGGAATTTTCCAACTCTCGAGTTGGCAACCCTAGCTACCAGATATATTTGTCTATTTAGTATATTTTAATCCCACTCTTCCACTAAGGGGCTCGGGGTGGCATAAATTGTTCTTCCCTATTTCCTTTTAGGAGCTGCGGTGGCTGAAGTGGTTAAGACGCTGAACTGCAGGCTGTGGAAGGTTGGTAGTTCAGCAGTTCGAGACCCGGGTGTCGCATGACGGAGTGAGCTCCCGCCTCTAGTTCCAGCTCCTGCCAACCTAGCAGTTCGAAAGCAAGAAATTGCAATGAGTGAGAGCCAAAGTCTCACCTTCTCTCACCCAGGTCTCGGTCACGCACGCCAGGTCCGCCAGATGTCCCGTCACATAATCCCTTAAGGTTGTGACTTTGTTGTTAATGGACCTGGCGTTGCACAACACCAATGACAGAGGGGGGTCAGTCCTGGCCCCACTGCCAGCCACCCTCGGGATGGGCCGTAGGCTGGAAGGACACCGAGCTCTCTTGTGTCTCAATGGCCTTCCATAACCACTCTGCCTAGGCCCACCGCTAAACTTTCCCCTCCCCAAGAGCACCGGAATCCGCTGATCAGACATGCTATTTATGGTATTCACTGGCCGTCACCAAGGGTTCAGTCACCAATGCACTACCCAGCAAGTCTGCAAATTGACAGCAGATACAACGTCACCAATCTTAACCGTATAGTTATGCATATATATATATACAATAATTACAATCACAAGTTCTAAGGCTGCACAATATAGCAATCATTAATATTAATATTGATGTCAGGTCAGCTGATTCTCACACACAATCACCTTTGTCAACAGAGAACCCATACTCACAGCCAACCAATAACCCACACCCTCTTCGAAAAATTCTTTTAAAAATGTTTAAAAAGTTCATGAATTTTCAGTATACAGATTGAAAGCTTCATTTCCCTCTTGAGGGTTCCAGCACCTCTTTTTCGCAAAAAAAGAAAGAAAGAAGAAGCCCTGCTCACATGCAAATCTTACTTAATTCCTTAGTATTAGATACCACAGGTATCTTTGTAACAATTCTCCCCGTAGTCGATGCACAGAGATCCTGCTGGAGTAAACAGCGAGATATTTTTCCACTTATTTTCTACGAACTGGTTTCCCAAAGAAGTTTTAACATTTCCTTTTGAAATCACTGCCCAAGTGTTGTTTTGTTTCCAATAACATCTTAATTAATTTTGATCAAAAATGCACTAAATTTTTAATCCATTCGAGTATCATTTTTAAACAATAGTTGGACATCGACATTAATGTATTATTATCCATTAGGTTATTAAATTTACATCTGAATTGAAAGTTCTGGAACCACAGCAATGACTCATCATTCATACGCTTAAATATTTTTGATCCAATCTTACTAGATTGTCTTTCATTACTTGTTTATTATATCCATGTCACATCCCCCCTAATTTCAATAGACCTCTCAATGTTTTCATGTCATCTATATATCTAATAGCAAAAGGTGCCCCCTGCATGCGGATACCTAAATCCACGCATCGGGGGCACCTGGGGGGGGGAGGGAGATTTTTGTGCACACTTGGGGCAGTCCCCAGGTGTGCACAAAAATCTAAAAAAACAGAAAAAATACCGGGGGGATACTTAAATCCCCCCAAAAATGACAGAGCGTCCCCTGCGCATGCGCAGGGAACGCTCTGCAAATTACCTTGCTGCCGCCACCGCTTTGAAGCGGGGGGGATGGACCTCGCTTTGGAGCAGGGGGGAGATGGGCCTTGCTTCGGAGGCGGGGGGGAATGGAAGGGGGAGATCGA